ACACTAAAATGAAATTGATATGTGAAGCTTCTTTTAGCTGGCTGATTCATAGATACATGACCAATCACAATTAGTTTTTTTAAAGCCAAAGGTTACTGAACACTTCAGAAATGTATGAACTCCTTCAAATGCTATGGTGGTCAATCAGAAAGGATCAGCATAGAGGCTTTAAATGTTATTCCATCTACCTTAATTGTGTACACTTTTTCCCCATTGACTTAGAATTATATAGACATTTTTCTTTCATCGAGCATTATTTTTGATTGTAATAATTTAGATGAAGTCTAAATAAGACAGAGACAGACATAATCTGAAGAAAATTGAGGCGAGCAGATAGATGACAAAATTCTCCAAAATGTTTTCAGTAGTTGAGGGCTCTTTGTGAATGAAAACATATTAAATGTCATGGAATCCAAAAGTATTAAAGCATTACATTAATTTCGTGACATTTATGTTTAGCATATATTGTATACTCACAAAGCTTGCTATTTAAAACTACACAAAGAATTTTATTTCAATTAAATTTTAGGACACAATAAGACTTCTTTGCATTTCAATGCAAGTCAAATTTCCTGTTTGACAAATTGAATAAAAACAATACAACTTACTTTCACATCTTACTGATCTAATGCATTATATTCTTTTGTATTATCCCTTTATTAGCCAAAATGTACTGTGAAAATGGATGTTACAATGCATACAAATTTCAGCATGTATCAATTTGCTTTAGAAGTGAAAAAATCTAGTAGGATAGGTAAAGGTTCATGTATGAACATATACAAAATATTCCATACTTACCTTTTAAAAGACTCAATATTGTAAATTAATGGTTAGTAATTTGACCTAAAGGAAACTAATAGGTACAAGTACTGAATCAATATTTCATGAACTTAACTGGTGTAATGAACTTAATACTAAATATTTCATACTTACCTTTTAAAAGACTCAATATTGTAAATTAATGGTTAGTAATTTCACCTAAAAGAAACTAATAGGTACAAGTACTGAATCAATATTTCATGAACTTAACTGGTGTAATGAACATATACAAAAAAAAAACATTATAATGAGACTGAAAAATCTTTAAGTCATAACGTATAACTAACCTTCCCTTCCTATATCCCTGTACATGTGTATTTGCTTTGGCTGTACATATAATGCATTGCAAGGAAATAATTTTTTCTAATGTTTACGTATTATGTTGACCATGTAACTATCACATATCTTCAGTAGAGTAATGTTATTTCACAGATGTTTAGGGACACCTCTTTCGGGCCACTCCAATATTTGCTGCTTCTGCAGCTGTATATTGCTCTTTGGCTGTTAGCATCTTAATTTGTACAATATGTTTTTCTTCCTATAATCTGAAAAATATCAAAGCAGTGAATGTCAGAGAAGCCCTAACATTTATCACCAGCAAGTTTTGAATAATAGATGCTAATTTGTGCTGCATGTACTTACATCAAGATTAGTAAATTAAATTACTGAGAGCAGCAGGCCTAAGATTTATCACCAGCAAGTTTTGAATACTAGATGCTAATCTCTGCTGCATGTACTTGCATCAAGATTAGTAAATTAAATTACTGAGAGCAGCAGGCCTAAGATTTATCACCAGCAAGTTATGAATACCAGATGCTAATTTGTGCTGCATGTACTTGCATTAAGATTAATAAATTAAATTACTGAGAGCAGCAGGCCTAAGATTTATCACCAGCAAGTTTTGAATAATAGATGCTAATTTGTGCTGCATGTACTTGCATTAAGATTAATAAATTAAATTACTGAGAACAGCAGGCCTAAGATTTATCACCAGCAAGTTTTGAATACTATATCCAATTTGTGCTACATGTACTTGCATCAAAATTAATGAATTACATTACTGAGAGTAGCAGGCCTAAGATTTATCACCAGCAAGTTATGAATACCAGATGCTAATTTGTGCTGCATGTACTTGCATTAAGATTAATAAATTAAATTACTGAGAGCAGCAGGCCTAAATATTTCATCACAAAACAAAAAGTTCTGCATTGACAGGATTGAAAATATATGCAGTATTGCTACGTATAAATATTTTTAAACATGTCTAACAAATTTTAGAATAAAACATTCATTTTTTTTACTGAAAGTAGGTTTTAACATCTTGTTTTCAGTGGGTTCATTACAGGTTGCCATTAAAACTGCAAAATAAGTTTAATTATACTTGTCCATTGTATTAAAATTAAACTTGATAATTCGGATAAACAGAGTAAAATTTAATGAAAGTATAACATTTCACGTTGTACTTTCATTCAATTTTACTGTCTATCCGAATTATCAAGTTTACTTTTAATTACGACAGAGTACTTCCTTTCATTGTATTGCATTAAGTAGCTATGACTGGAGGTGTAGGAGTAAGCATGCAGAGTGATTTATCATCATCATGTATGCTATAGTTTCATACTGAAAACCAAATCTTCAAGCATGAAATATACTAATATACACATATTTCAACCAGCAATTGCAATCTGTGTTAAAAAAGATACAGTAGTATCAGAGATATATATGATAACTCATTGTCATAGTTAGTAGCCCCTAACATCACAATCAGTTTCTCAAAGAATTTTTCTTCAATTAACAAAAATATAACTAATAATTAATTTGGTGACTGTATAGGCTACCTACTCTGATAACGCTTGATATATGATTACCACACCATTACTGTATGACAAAGTTGTATAATAAAAGCAGTTTTCAGTTTAGAATTAGCATTTGTTTATATGGTATTAACTATACTCTGGAATAGGTGTAATAATTTTTTTATTATTTTTTGCACAGATGTAAGTGGGTGTTGTTATAAAGTTTTTCTTTAAGACTGGAAGTAGATGCCTCTTGAGGGCTTAAGTAATAAAATGTATTTTGTATGGAATATTTGTTTAGTTAAAAAATGCAAGCTTAAAATCTATATTATCAATATGATGTAGATGAAATATACACTTTTTTTTGACCAACACAGTACTGAAGTTGATGCAAAGCACTTCACTATTGACGATTTGCATTCTTTTATGTTTATCAACTTATAAATGTAAGGATGTGATAATCATAAAGTAGAATTTTTTTAATGTTAATAATTTATTGAAGGTTTAGGGTTAAAATAGGACATTTTCTTTAACAAACTGCTTGACCTTTGTGATTTAAAGGGTTTTTTGGATATTCATGCAAAGCTATTCAAGGGCTATTTTTGCTAACCATTCCTAATTTTGAACTGATAAGCCTGGAGAGAAGGCAACACTATTCAATAGCACTTACACCTAACTCTTGGGGGCTACTCTTTTCCGATTAAACAGTGTAATTTAACTATCACACTTATAATGCACCCATGGCCCCAAAGTATGGAGTGACTTTTTTATGTGATAACTGGATGCAAATGCTGGACTTGCAGAACCATGTTCAGTAAGGAATAAAAATGTAGTTTGGGCACATAAGTAATTATATACTTCAGACATTGTTGTTTTAGGAAATATTACTTAGAACACACTTTTCTGTGATCAATGTATAACAATTTCTTTTCAGGAATTGTGGGCGATTGGAAAAATTACTTTACTAAAGAAATGAATCAAGTCATGGACGAGTGGATTGAAGAGAAGTTCCAAAGTGAAGAAACTGGGTTATTTTTCTGTTATGATTTATAAGATACTTTTATCCAATAAATGAGCTTAATAATGTATCAAATAACTAATAACAGAATTATTGTATTTCATCAACATTTTTAAAAACTGAATATCAAAGTAGCTTTCATGTGAAAAGTTTTATTAACATATATACAGTACTTCAAGAGGAAGTTTTAATTGATTTATAAAATGCTGGATAAACTTTTAGCTTTGAATTACTAATCACAGATTTATGATTTGTTAGTCCTCTACTGTATAAATGACACTTTAAAATAGTACAATTTTGTGATTCATATTAAAAGTTTAAGATATGTCTAGTTGTATTTCAATTTTTTAAAACTTTTATATCCCATCAGACCAAACACAATTTGTGATGTCTATTATTTAAATACAATGTAAGTGGACACGTAATCTTAGGAATTGGGAAACTTTATTAGTAATTAAAAGTGACAAACCTTTTGAAACTTTTAATAGCATTGCTATATGTTTTCAAAAATCACAGTTTCATCTGCTTGTATTTAGATAATGTGATATTATAGCATGCATAAACTTTAAAAATAAGTTGACTGGGTAATTGCTAACATGGATCATTAGCTATCCCTGTATATAAGAAAATCTTTATTTTATTCAACAATCTGATAATACAAATTGGATCAAAGTACCGATACAAAAAGAACAAAAAAATTGTGTATCTTAGCTTTTCAAAAGTCTAACAATTGACACCATTCACCTGAATCTGCCAGCAGATGCATCATAAGTACAATATTAATATTTTACCTGAAAATTTCAAATAAGAGTATAACCATGCTGAATTGTCTTTAACAAACAAGTGAGATAAACTTATCGTCACAATAAAATGAAAGCTAGTCACTTGTAAATCACCTCATAATTTAATTAATACTTATCCAAATTCAGGTAAGTATTATACAATAACTATCTCTATTGAAGTGCTTTGGCACTGGTTTATCATTTTTGTTTACATTGAGGGATTTCAATATTGCAAAAGTGTTCAATTTAAACATAATAGAATACATAATTTAAGTTCACCTTATACTATAATAAACCCAGTAAAGAAAACTGGTTGACCATCATAATGTGAAAGAGCTATAGATAAAGTTTTCAGCTGTAATTTGTGTGTTGCTCATTTGTAGCTTTTAAATGTAATTCAACTGCACACAGTTAGTCTACTGTAAGGTTGAGTGCACATTTTTGTAAATAATATAGTTGCTAAGTATAATAAATTTAATACTTTTGAAACTATTAGCACATTCAGAAAAGTTTTTTGAAATTTTACATTTTCTATAATTTTACTTTAACAGGAAAAGCATGTTTATAGATAAACTACTCTTCAGAAATATGGTCAAGTAAAATTTTTCGATAGTCTTCCTAACACTAAAAGTACTTTGGGTTTAACAACTAACAATTTGTATTTATTGGGTTATTTATCACAGTTCTGAAGTATAAAATTTTAGCTCAGTTGAGTTAACATGTAATAAAGTTTTTAGTAATTTTTTGTCTATTTGAAAATACCAATACAATGTAAACTTCAATAAACCTGTAATAATGTAATGGGAAACAAATTTGGTTTTAACATAGAGGTGGACAGTTATATGTCATGCATTGAAGATGCTTCTTACTGCTATTGGATCCTAATAAGATTTTTATCAAGTCTTGCCGAGCCTGATAATTTAAATATTTACAAAATAAATATTGGTTACAATGATTAGTTGTAACTTAAATGCTAAACAATTGATAATATTTTGTTGGATGTGATTAAATATACATAACAAAATAGTCTTAAGACTCGATGATGCCGTAAGTGGATCAAGTTCCCTCACTCCTGCGTGACCTATGGATTGAAAGTTCTGTGTCGAAGTCACATACATGGTCTCTCATAGCTTTATGTAATTTTGAAAAGTTTAAAAATAAATTCAGTATAAAATTTGAATAGATGAAGGTAATAGGTTTGTTTTGTTTTTGAATTTCGCGCAAAGCTACACGAGGGCTATCTGCGCTAGCCGTCCCTAATTTAGCAGTGTAAGACTAGAGGGAAGGCAGCTAGTCATCACCACCCACTGCCAACTCTTGGGCTACTCTTTTACCAACGAATAGTGGGATTGACCGTCACATTATAATGCCCCCACGGCTGAAAGGGCGAGCATGTTTGGTGTGACGGGGATTTGAACCCGCGACCCGCAGATTGAGAGTCGAGTGCCCTAACCACCTGGCCATGCCGGGCCTAAGGTAATAGCATTAGCTATGTCATCACTTTTAGATCCAAGCTCATTTTAAAATGTTTAAAGCTAATATCTCATACATAAATCGCCAGTTTTAAGAAATGTATTAAAAGTCATATTCAGTGAATACATATAGTTTAAGCTTAGTGCTTGATAAATTTAGACATGCAGAAAACAGAGATAAAATATTATCACTATAAAAAGAGTAGTAAGCCTTATAACTTGTTAAACATTTTAAATTTGTTTAACATTTATTGGTATTTGAAAAAGATTTTAATTTCTGAGTTCAGACAATTTCAAAATGGATCTGTGGTTTCCAAGACTTACTTTTGTAAAGATTCTCAGTGCATTGTTCAAGAGAAAAAAGCTCAGGCAAACTGGTATTTTTGATCTTGTTGATAACCTAAACTGTTCATTCTTGTACCAATGTAATATTTCATTTTTCAGAACTTTGTGAAATAGTTGTTTTAATATTTTTCTACTAACTAGTAATATTATTTAAAAAGTAAGCACATTTGGTAAGTGTAGGAAACAACCTACATCACTTAATAGACAGCAACTTACAGTAAGTAACACATAAAATCTTAAAATAAATTTTTTATTTTGTTTTAACCCCCAAACCTCCCCATTACATTGTTTATTTAACGGGAATTTTTCTTAATTCAATCAAAATAAGCTCAATTTTCAAACATCTATCAAAAAAATCTAGATTGTAAGTATTTGTTAGAATTATGTAACAGATACATAGAATATCATATAAAACATTTTCTTTAAATGTTTTGTGAAGAACAAACAGGATAACATTTTTAAGCACCAGCATTTTCTGATGTGAATAGATGATAGTAGTGCATGCTTTATGTTAAATTCTTTTTAACATACAATGCACAAAGTAGCCTAAAATGCTTTCAGTGATGAACAACATATGCATGGGAGGATTTTTTCAAAAAATGTGTATGTAATACTTAAAAAATATGTTCACTAGGATTTGGAATTTTTACCACTATACATTAGGATAACTGAGAAACAAAGCTAATACTAAATCAAACCAAGGGTTCAGGTTTTCTGAACATACAAGTTTTATCATACAACATAATGCATCTTAGAAAAAAAAACACACTTAGACAAAACACTTTAAAACTAAGGAAGATATAACACACATTTTGGAGTTGTTTGTCAAGTACTTTCAGCTTGATAAAGATAAGCAACGGACTGAGTAAGAAGGCTGAATAAACGATTGCTAACTGTACAACTAAACAACAATTACTCATAATACTTTGTGGACACTGTATTCCTATTTCAACACAAAGTAAAGTTTTGTCCTCTATTTTACTTTTTAAATTATTTTTTTATAAAGGTAGACCCTAATTTACCCATATGACAAAGAAACAAACAGAACAATAATATTCTACCATGCGTGTTACCTGTTTATTACCATGAAAGGAAATTTTAAAGCTTTATTTTACAAGAAAAATTATGTTCATAAACAAGAGTTAAAAAATATATTTTTCTTTTATGTTGTTTGGATTACAACTATATAGTACTGTAAATCACATGAAGAAAAATAAAACTTCGAGTTACAGCTGATTTCATAAGACACAATTGGAAGACCTCTTGTCAGCTTAATGAACTTGAAATTTAATGTTAGAGGAAGCAAAAAACTACTTTCCAGAACACATTTGAAGAAATTATCATATTTCTAGAAACCATGGAAAATATTATTCATACTTCCATTTCTTTTTTATTATTATTAAAAATATATTTATTTGCAAAAATTGATGAATATTTTGTATTCCACCTTGTTTAAATCATTTTAAAGAAACATATATCATACAAATAAATGATGATACCAAATGTAGACATAATATGAGCGACAGTAATTTGCCTGTTTGAATTTATTTAAGTCTACTCAATATTCTTCCAGAAAAAAATTGACAAAAATATAGTTTAATTCATACACTGCAGGCAAGAAACTATTTATTTCCTTTGCACCACAGTTCCTTTTGCTTTGCTGCATGTCACTGATTAAGAAGCTCAACGTAATTAGCTGGAAACAATCCAAGTATACCTCGGCATTCTCCTCTCCACCAGCCCTCATCAATCTGAAAGTTACATTTGATGTTTAATAACTAAAACACACTAATGGCAATTCATCACAACTCAAAAATGCAATTTTCTTTCATAAGCATGATTTAATACTTAATGAAATCATTATTCCACAACTTTTCTCTTGAAACAATGATAACATATCAGTAGTATCTTGTATAAATAATTGGGAAATGATACATCTCCCATTGCAGTTCACTGATCAATTGGAAAACTTATTTGCTGCACAAATGTGCAGAATTTACCTTGTGACTTATTTTGTGGTTTGATACTGGAATTATTGTTATCAGCACTTTTTAAAACAAACTGTTTATTAACAAAAATTGCACTACATATTCTAAATAGAATTGTAATAAAGTAGATAACAATGAGAACTTTAACCATATCTGAACTGAAGAGCACTTCACAGGTGTCAAGTGCACACTTGCATTATCAAATTTCAAAATGTAAGTAGAAATATTCATTCTAACTCTTATATCTACAATTTTCAACTCAAAAACACTTTGAGATTGATACTGTGCTATTTTATAACATTTATTTAGTGTAATTCATGAAGAAAAATGAAAAACAAATGTTCAAACTTTCAATTCTTCATAGCTCAGAGGTGTCTCACCTGAAAACAGTGCATTTAATGTTTTGTTTTTTAAGAATTTTCTGCCCATCCCAAAGTATAGGCTTACATTTGCTAAGAAACTAGAGAATATCATCACTCTTGTTTTGCTTCTTTTATGATTTTCATTCTGTGTTAGAAGTTTCATTACTACAACCCTTCATTGCCACCCTTTTATGATATCACTGCATGTGCTCTGAACAATTACCTATTAGCAACATAAGATAGAGCAGATTATAAACTATTTACAACAATGAAAACTAATAAAGTGGTTTGAACTGTAATTTATGGTTTATCTACATATTTACTAGCTACAGCTTCTGTAGGGAATCTAAAGGAAAATTTAAGACTTAGGAACAAACCACAAATCTATGTATTTGTTTATGGTTTCTTTAGATGTTTTTTCACACCTGACAATGTTTTTATGTTAAATCAATCCTGTTTGAAAATTACACAAAGTTTATTCTATAGCAAGACATAAGGTAAGCTTAGTTAGGTTTAGAGGGAAAGTATATGAAAATATTCTGATAACTCAAATCCTTATTTATTGATTACTGTTGTTCAGCTATCATACTCAAATAACGGATTCAATTAACAATATTTAATAACAAGAAATTATGTATTAAAAGCACGGTAATACCAAAAAACATCTTTAATATAGACATTTAAGAATTTCCTCAAATTCCAACATCAGCATTAAAAATCTCAAAAAAAAAGAAGTTAGTTCCTAATACTTGAACTACAAAAACAACATTAGTTATTGAGTGAGTTTTTACATTCAATCAGAAGTTTAGAAAGAACATATTTAAACAGTAACAATATAATAGAATGTACGATAAAATATGTGGCATACACGTTTAATAAATAACATTTAAGAAAATCATTATAGAGAAAGGCTTAAATATAAGTATAAACACTGCACCTTTAAAAAAATAATAATTATCAAATAAAAACACTGAGAATCTGGAATTGAATTTTAACTTAAATATCACATTCAAAACATATTACCTACAAATTAAACTACATTTAGTACTTATGTTAACATTTAGAATTACAAATATGTTCAACACCAAAGACACTACCCTTTCCTATACACTCTTGGGTCATATATAAATATGCTTGAGGTAGCTGTAAAGCTACCTATATTGGTAAAACTACATGTCGCTTACAAATATTTGCATGTGGGAATTTCAGTTAGAAATGGATATAAGCTGAATAATCCACCCAAGTCTTGTATCTGATTACGCAGTGAGAATAACAACCACCCGATACTTCTAGAAAACTCTAAAATTCTTGACTCTGGAACTCTTTATTAAACAAAGCCTCTTCAACTGTAAATAATAACATTAACTCCTACCTGTTGTCACTTTGTTTGCCAATGAAAGGAGTGATAAGAACTAGTGGGTATTTTGAGACAGTGTGCAATTTTTTGTTAGGTTCTATTTGTTAAATTTTTCCTGTGATAGAGTGTAAGACATTAAAGGGACAACCATTATTTTGTAATATGCTATGAATTTTTGAAATTTCTAAGTGAAGACAGAAGAGTTAGAACAAGGTTATGTTTAAAGGAGTCTGGTATGGAACTGTCAAAATGATTGTACAACCCAGTAAATGTTTTCTTACAGTAAAGAGATTGTTTATTTTGTTTACTTGGATGTTTAAAGAGGCTAAGTTATTGTTTTCTTCCATCTCATATGTAAAGTTTATATATGGATGTTGTAAGTTCAGGTTTTTGAGAAACAGAACAAAAGTATCATCAACGTACCTTTTACATAATACTGGTTTGTAATAAAGGGAGCAATTATCCAGCCATTGCTGTTCATAATAACACAGAAAAATATTTGCAAGGGTTGGACCTAGAGGTGATCCCATCACCACTCTGTCTATCTGGTCATAAAGATGACCATTAAAAACAAAGTGATTGTCCTTGAGAAGTAGATTTTCAAATTCTTTTGCTTAAAGTTAGAGTGCAAAGCATTTTTGGATGGGAAGAAGTTTAATAATTATTTACATTTTTTTCTTAAGTGTGATGTTAGTGAATAAGGACTGAATAGCAAAGCTGGCCATAATGAATCAGTTTGCATTAGGAAGTTTAGATGTCTCTTGAGCAAAGGAGAAAGTGTCTTTAATGGTCATTTCATTCTCAGTTTATGAGCTTAATGCAGTTTCAAGATACTTAGAAAGTTTCTAGGCGTGTAAACCAAGAGTAGATAGAATAGGTCTGAGGGGTAAACCATTTCTGTGTATTTTTGGTAAGCCATACACAAGACCAGGGTGGGAACCTGTAGGATAAAGTTCTGCAAAAGAGATGAGTTTACAATTTTTAAAATACCTTAGAGTCCATTGAAGCTTTTTCTCATGCTTGAGAGTAAGCTTAAGCCAATCATTATCAAGAGGTTTGAACTTTGTTCTGTCATTTAAAATGTCTTTCATGTTAAAGACATAATCAGAGCTGTTTAAAATGACGACATCTGTACCTTTATCTGGCAGGACGACAATGATGTTTCAGTTACTGGCAACTTATTTTAAGATAGAAAACTCAACCTGTGTAATAGAAGAGGTTTTTTTTTTTTACAAGGGGTTGAAGTTATAGAAGGAGGACAATGTTGCATTTTTAAATTTAGTTTTGATGAGGCATTTTATATTTGGTGTGTTATATTTGTTAAAACTAGGAAACGATTTAATAGTTTTGTAGATTCAAATGGAAAAAAAAGTAACTTGAGAAACCAAGTTTACGGGTAGATACACAAAAATTTAAACCTTTAAATTTTAAATACATCCATATTAAAGATGTTTTTTGGTATTAACTTTGTTTTTCATCTGAAGAAATTATATTTGTTAAATATAATGATATTGACCAAAAATCGTGAAACCTAGCCTGATAAGTTAATGGTGTCACCATTAAACTTTTGTTTAACATGTTTTTCATGATTTACAATTGGCAGTGATTGCTACTGCAATTAGTAAAATAGTCTCAAAAGAAATATGATTACCAATCAAGTTGAAACTAACTGGATATATCAAATGGAACTTCTTGATCAACATTAAAAAAGGAAATGAAATTATAGAATGAAAAGTATTATTTTTCATGTTTTTTCAGTGTCTCAACAAAAGTTTGGAACTCTCACATCCTAAAATATGATACAAAAACTAAATCAAATTATATTTTTAAAGTGAAAACTAGACAGTAATTAGGAACTTTGTTCCAAGTTTCATGCAATTTGGTCAAGTATTTCCACTGTGAAAAGTAAGAAAAATTAAGGGGACATAAATGAGATGCCTCTGTGGTCCAGAGAGGGTTAATGCAATATACCAGAGGTCAGGTCTTTGTTGTTTTTTTTTAGGGGGGTAGCATAGAAAAATCCACCCCCATTTCACTCCTCCCCACCCCTTTCTAGAAAAATGGAATCTGATTTGTTAACTATTTCAATGGGGAAGCCCCATTCAAAAATATTTCAAAATACAATATAGTATTTTGAAATATT